TAAGATGCCACTCTTAAGACAGATTTTCAGCTCAAAGTTCAGTAGTGCAGTAATAGAAATAATAGAAAAGCATTTTGTTGTCATAACAGCAACATAAATTTTTTAAGGCATGAATTGGGATTCATCCCCTCAACGTACGGGCTGCCAAATCGGCAAGTTCACGTTACTTTCAATGATGTTAATAAAAATACTGACACTGTTTTTGTGTGCGCATCTCAAGTGTCAATGCGCTCACAATTACAAAATCAGTCTTAAACTCAAAATAACTAAAACACTAAAGAAGTAAAACATTTAAAACAATTCTCATGTTTTAAAGAAAAAAATTCCGACATAAAAATGTTTATAAGGCAGCTTTGAAAGACGAAACTGAAACAACACTTTTAAGAGAATTTGGGAGAGTATCCCATAACGTAGGCGCATGGAAAGAAAACGTACGTTGACTGTATGTCACAGAGTTTACGGTAGGATAAATAAGAAGTGATTTAGAGGATGAACGTAGTATTCTTGTAACAGACTCAATAAATAGGTCGACTTTCGAGAGCGATCAACAACAGTAACATTTATTTTCAGCTGTTGTGGTGTTATTATTCATTTAGATCAATTTCTAATAAAGATAATCACCGTATTTCAAACTGAATTTAGGCTCGTCGGGGTCGGTGTTCTTGATTACAGGCTTGTTAAGTGATTGTCGCAAGTACAGTCGAACCTTTACTAAGTCCTGAATTTGTTTCCCTTTACTCAATGTTACACTCAAATAAAATTAAGAAAGATAAATAGGGGTTAGTTTCCAAAGAAACTGTAGTGCTGCGTCAGTGAGGAAGTAAAACAAGATAATTTGGTTTTATCAACTGAGTTGATAATATTAACTGACCGCCGTTGAGAGCTGTGAAGCTGACGTTTCAGGGGCTAGCTCTTCATCAGAGCAAAAATTTCGCCTTTGATTCATTCACTTAATTTCCCTAGTTTATCACAAGCCATAAGGTCAAATGCTTCAAGAACGAGCTCACTTCATGTGTTTGCAAACACCTATAAGTATGGGGCGCAAAAACCAGTCAATATTCCCTTTGTATTTCTGTGACCCACTTACTTTTTATATGGTCAACTCGACTTTGTATACGGTCAACTTTGTACTTTTTATATGGTCAACTCGAATTTTTTATATGGCCAACTTTTACTTTTTATATGGTCAAGTCTAGTTTTTATACGGTTAACTATTTACTTTTTATATGGTCAACTCGAGTTTTTAAATGGTCAACTTTTTACTTTTTATGTGGTCAATCGACTTTTCACATGGTCAACTTTTTACTATTTATATCGGTCTGTGCAAAACGCAGACTGCACACCGGAGCTAAAGTGCAGACTGAAGACTGCAGATCAGGGGTAAAATGAAAACTGGGTTCTTGAAGAATCGACCGTTTATGACCGCGGTATAGACCTGATCGTGAAGCGCAAGAGCGAAGTGTTGAACGTATTGAAGCTTCTGATACAAAGCACCATTCCAAGATCACGCTTACCTTCGCAGCGCAAGACAATGGTGTGACAAACAGGTTTTTATTGGCAAAGCAATCGAAATTGCCGATGTGTGATGGAAGTCTATCGCTACTTTTAAGG